CGGTCGGTAGTGACGATGGAAGGTACTCCGTAATTTGCTATCCAACGGTCAAGGAATACGCCGGCTACTGTTTCTGTGGAAGTATCAGTAATAGGACATGCTATCGCCCATCTGGTGAATCTGTCCACTGCAGTGAGGATGTGTGTATATATATTAGATAGTGGCAGTGGACTAACTATGTCTAAATGGATTAGTTTTTCTGGCAGGGGATACTTGCCAAAGAGACTGATCGTGTGCTTCTGAATTTTGCTGCGTTAACATTGTAGGCGGCTTTGCGTCCATCGTTTTATATCTGAATTGATCTTTGGCCACACAAAACGCTCAGTATCCAATTTGGTTGTGGCTCTGATTCCTGGGTGAGAAAGGTCATGCAGTTGACGAAATACTTGTCGACGACAGGCTCGAGGGACAAAAGGGCGATTGTTACCCGTTGAAACTTCGCAAATGATAGATGTATTAGCGAAAGGAATGGGTACTGGTTTAAGGTTCAAGTTAGAATTCTCTGTGCACGCCATCAAATCTGCATCGTCCACTTGTAGTTTAGCCAAAGCTTCGAGGCTGATGTTGTGAGTGTGTGCCATCATGTTGATATCCTTTCTAGATAGAGCGTCTGCGACGGTGTTGGAGGAGCCTTTGATAAACTGGATATCTGTGGTGAATTGAGAAATACAATCCAGTTGTCTGGCTTCACGTGGGGAATGCTTGTCATAAGACGTATTAAAGTAATAGCAAAGGGGTTTATGATCAGTCATAATGGAGAAATCATGGCCTTGTAGCAGGAAGTTGAAATGTTTCACAGCTAAATACATAGCCAGAAGTTCACGTCCGAAGGTGCTATAACGCTCTTGAGTTGGCGATAATCGTTTGGAAAAGAATCCTATGGGAGTAATCTTGTCGTTCACGCACTGCTGAAATACTGCTCCTACTGCTTTCTGGGAGGCGTCAGTGCAGAGGATAAGATGAGTTGTGGGGTCAGTGTTTGGGTGCTGTAGCATGGTAGCATTGGATATCATCAGTCTCGCTTTAGCGAAAGCCTCTCTGGCCTCGGGAGTTAACGTGAAGGTATTCTCTTTTTTAGCCTGAGCTGCGGTTTTATACGTCTTCAGTAAATCTGTCGAAGGTTGTAGGGTAGTCGCGCAGTTATGGAGAAAACGTCTGTGGAAGTTGCACATCCCCAGGAACTGGCGTAATGCCTTTATCGACTTAGGCTCTGGAAAATTTACTATGGCTTCGACTTTTTCTGAAAGTGGTTTAATACCTTGCGAGTCTATGTAATGTCCTAGAAACTCTAAGGCTGGAACTGCAAATACGCGTTTCGACGAATTAATGAGAACTCCATGTTTTTTAAAGCGATCGAATAGGATCTGTACATGTTGGACGAGTTTTTCTACTGATGCACTTGCAATTAAAACATCGTCCAAGTAAACAAACACGAAATCCAGACCTCTTGTAACGTTGTCCATGAAGCGTTGAAATGTTTAAACAGCATTTCTCAGTCCAAATGGCATCCGTAGAAACTCAAATCAATCAAAAGGTGTGATTATGGCTGTTTTCTCAACGCCTTATGGTGCCATCGGAATTTGGTGGTATGCTCGTACTAGGTCAAGTTTCGAAAAGATGCGTTTGCCGTGTAAGTTTAACGAGAAGTCATGTATACATGGGATAAGGTACCTATCAGGCATTGTTTGATTATTTTGAAGGCGGTAGTCGCCACACGGACGCCAACCTTGGTCTTTCTTCGGTACCATGTGTAACGGCGAGGCCCAAGGACTATAAGATGGTCTGATGATACCAAGTCGCATCACGTGTAGATCACCAACGTAGATGATCTATGTCGAAAATGATTGGAGGCCTACTCGAGTTAGATGTGAATGTTGTGATAAACCAATTAATGTCGAAGTTACACCTGGTGGTTAGCACCTTACGTGAACTACCCCATTGATGAATCAAGGTACCATAGATGCTTTTAAGACTGTACAACACAGAGTACATTATTACAAAAATATATTAGTTAAGGTAGATACAAGCGAAAGTAAGACAACTGCTGCACGGGCCAGTCCATGGCATATGATTAAATAATGCGCGTAGGTTGTACATGACGTTGCCACGTAGTGATGATCTGTTCGACATTCAGTGATTCAACTGCCGCATGCTTTAGCTAGGACTCAGTGACCTTTCACTGGCCCTACAACTTGATTTTTGTGCTTCTCTAAACAACATGAGAGGAAATGCCTGTCTACAAGGGGCATTTCCTTCATTGTGAATCTAGTATTTCCTTTCCAGTATAAGTCAAACGAACTTCATGCACTTTGGACCAGTACTGACATTAGAATAGCTACAAACGGAGTTAATCCATGTGTAATCATAAAATAGTATTGAATGTGGAGTCGCGTGAAAGCAACACCAATCTCCGATATTCCATAGTATATTTTGCTATGATAAAGCCTCATAAACTAGGCACACATCTACCACAGTGAATACAACAACGCTAAAATATGCTTCGTTCTATTATCTCGAAATTATCTATTGGCTAACATCATTGGTAAACTCCAACTGAGTAAATATGAGTGACTGAATTTTTCAATTTGCCACAGTTATTTATCAGTTATAAATGTGAAATACATACAAAATGAATTGACTAACCTGAGTAGGTCTGCAGTAAATTGGCATCATTGGGATTGATATCTGTATTTAGTAAAAATCACTCGAGTATTAATCTTAGAAACTAATGTGGTGTTGTTCTTTAGAAACATATTACTCCATCATTCTGTTGCACTAATAATGCATTTACAAACTATTTATCCAAACGCTAACACTACATTATGCATGGTAATTGTTAATGGGATGTGGTTGTGTTTTGTTACTCACTTCCCACTATTAAACCAACATGGAGCCAATAAACTGTGACAAAATAAAAGCATTCCTGCTTTCACATCTACATCAGATCCTCCTTCCTGCGTATGTACGTACAAGCTAGTGTCACTTCCTGGTCACTGTTTTCATTCCAAATTTATATGGCATTTTCTGCCTTCGACTCCAAAATCTGAAGGCAGTTTCCCTTTGAAATTCCATCTATCCAGTCCTCATGTGACATTGTAGCTCCAGTTCCCTATAGAGAACCACCAGTTGTTGATCCACAAAGAAACTAGCACCTCCATTCCATCGACCTGCTGAACTATCTATTCATGCGAATGTCATAGTTCTTGTTCATTGCAATGATTTGAAGCATATCTCAGGTAGCTATGTGTATGTCTTTGTGTGGTAATATGGATACATCTGTAGCCAATACTTGGAAAACACATACATCTGCAAATTGCACACCAGTTTTGTACACTTGTCGCAAAACATATTGCCTCATGACATATCATCATGCCTGATGTTATCCATTTTGAACAATTCAAACTGTAGTTTGTCTTCTCTTATCCACACTTTGTTCAATCAGCTTCCTCCATTGCAGACAATGCCTGATTGTATGTTCTCATCTATACTGTTAACCAAATATCATTCGCAGTTTCAAAACTTCACCGGAAATTCCATTCACTTTTTTTAACTGCTTCTGAATATCGCTATCGTGACATCATAAGAGTTCCGTGTTTCATCATGAATTGTAATAGCCATTCAATATGGAGTCTCTTCCACATTCAGGACACAATTTCAATGGTTTCATTAATTGTCTCTGATAAGATTTATTTCACCGACGTTGCTAGACAATTATTATTAGGTATCTTTTACAACATATTTGCAATAAATAAATAAATATACACATGAACCTACTTTTGAATAGATCGTAAATCCATTTAGCTGCATACAATTTTTCTAGCCTCATTACTTCTATTAAATGCAAAACAGTACAAGAATATCAGTGAAATGTGAAGACAGAAGCTTATCTGTAAACATCTAATTCGACTCATCAGTGGATAGCTTTACTGACGATAAAATTTGCAGTCTCAGTGAATATGTATTCTTTACATCAATGCCATCTATCACCAAACGACATAAATTGAAGTTAGTTTTCTGGCATATCGCTTTCCAGTTTTTATTTGGTCTTTCGTATACTGAATGATTGATTGATCGTTGGTTGATTGAGTTATTATGATCTCCACATCTGACAAGACTCAAATAATTCAATTGACAGCAGTATACATGATCTAGTAAAGAGAGAAGCGTAAGTGCATTAATTCTGTTTAACTAAATTTATCGTTTCAATCACACCATGATGCGAACAACGACAACGAATACAGTGATACGGTGATTGGAACGACTGCAAGAACAGCTTATTGAAATGGGGAACGAGTGTGGTACGTGCTAATTATATTGATAGATATTTGTATCATGTAACAACGATCAGAAGTGGAAAGTTTGTCAAAAGAAAATTGAGAAGATTGAACCGAGGAAAAATGAAAGAGAAACCGAAAGAAGTAGAGAAGTGAAAGGGTCATGAAGGATATAAAGAACAATTGATGAACGACTTACAAATAAAGTATTTAACGTATAGTCTTCACAACTCACCAAATAATCCTTCATAAAATAATACTTTGGGTGGCCTTAACAACAACAAAAACAACTAGTTTTGCAAGTGAGAAACAATAATAATGAAATATAATCAGAAATTGTTTTCTCATCTGTATCACAAGGTTTCTAGGAATGTGATGTCCTTTTTTCTTCTTAAAAGTACACATTCTTGATGTTAAATATGTACTATGTATATTTAACAAATTACACGTTACTTTTTTTAACAAGTAATATACTTAGTGTCCTTAACAAAACCTACCCACCCTCCATTCACTTGGTTTATTTTGAACATACACCTGAATATGTTACGGCTTAGTAACTAGTTTTTTTTCTTCTCACAAATAATGTTTAATGTTAAACCACTTCAGAAACATAAAAATAGTATCCATTACAGAGTTCAAACAGATTCCGTTTCTCATCTTTGGTTATACAGACATGCCTCATATATAAATATGCATGCATAACTGAAAAAGCATTCATTGTGAAAAGATTATTTTGTGAAACAAATGAAAGCCTGTCTCATGCAAGCTGCAGTGATTTTTATATATTATCTTGGTAAGTAAACGACATTTACTTTTACTATGAATCCTATTGTATAATATGGACAATATTTCCTCCCTTGTATAAATTTATAATATCAGATGTGTTTTTTGGATCACATAGCAATTTCAATGTTTGAGATCATGAGTCATTTGAAGCCAGACCACCATGGAAAACTTAGAAGTACTGTACATTAACAGCGTTGGATGCCAGCTAAGTGGTATAGTGGTTAAATGCGAAAGCAGTAGGTACTGAGTTCGAATCTCACAGGGGAGCGAGGTCGTGAATGCGCATTGCTCGAGTCACACAATTGGACAAAACGGCCGTCCAGTGCTTCCAGTTATTCCATGATAGTCTAGCTTCAACTGACTCATGTTCTTAAACATTGAAATCTATAATAATTTATTCACACTATAATCACTAATGATGACATGCTTATATAATATATAACCTATAACTAAGGCGATAACGTGATTACGTTTGAAATGAACAGTATTGGGTACAAATTACACAAAAAACATCAACTCTATTTGACCAGTATCAAAATAGGACAAAACGCGCGTCAAACTAGATTCCATCGCTAACCACTATTTATCTTCGCTTATATTAGGCAATGATTTGATTAAAAACTATGTATATTAACATGATGTGAATTTCAACTTTGCCTTTTGTTGAATACATTTATTTCATTTCACAATATTGACATTTCCAACATTGCTAATTAGTTCAAAATGGTTTATGAAACACATATTCTGATAGAACACTCTAAGTTCCTATGAATATTACCCAACTATTTTGGGTCCATATGAACATGTGTAGTGAAATCAAAATGAATGAATTTATCACTATAGGGTTGTGGAGGTTATTAAGTTTTTATTTGAGATCATGAACCGATTCATGTTAAACCATCATAAAATACCTGGATGCACTAAACGAACGTACAATTCTATAAACCAGTAGTATTCTTGAATATTAGGTTTGATTCAAGTTTAGGACCATACTCACTACAACGATTTATTATACATGTGTTAGTAATCGCAATGTTGAACTGATAGAGGCCATCAGTTTCAGATGAAAGTTGAATGGATACCTACCCAATCATTCTTTATAGCTCACCTAAAATTAATCTGTTGTAATGCTCAATTTACTTTGTATACACAAATGGGACGTTAATTTGCCTCAGACTAATCTCTACACTAAATTGCTTCACAGTGTCTATTAATCAATAGGACTTCAATACAGCTCAGATCAAGAACACATGATTAGCCTGGCTAGAATGTAACTATATTTCTACAAGAAAATCCGACAACAATTCGACACAATCCAGCAGGAAGTAACAATCAGTAATAATAAGCATAGGAGAATATGTAACTCATTTGACCCTCATCAGACTATCCACAAACATGAATCATAATAAAGCAACATGACTACTAATTGTAACTATTTATTGAAATAACGTCCACGACGAGTGAGTGACAACTTCGTTGGTCAAATATCTAAAGATTGTCTACAACTTAACCGGAAAACCACAGATATCAGAACGTCCTTTGCTCAACACTAACTTCACTTATTCTTCTTTTTATTTATATCAATAATGTTACGTTGTAAAATAAATATCAACTTATTTCTTACTTTAAAGGTGTACAAAATGTGATGACGGCAGACATTGAAAGTGTAGAACTCAAAGGTGAGATAATGGGTAATCTCGGATTTTTTGTAACTGCATGCGCATAACGTATGAAATATTAGTTATTCAATGATATTTGAGCATACTCGAGTAGCAGGTTTAATACATTGGAAAATTGAAATGTATTTGTTTGATGAATGACAATACAAAAACAAGGATACAATTAGATGATTTTTAGAAAAAAACCGTCTACTATCTAACAACTTTCAAACTATTAAGCTGACATAAACAAACCGATCCACAATGTCAGTTCACACTCCTTAAATTTTGCACACAATTCTATCAAAGAAAACCGAATAACACTCGATTATTTATTTTAACAATCGGAAAGTAGTTTACCTAAAACGAATTATGCACGGTTTTATTGCTCATACAAATTCTTGCTGTACACCAGAGAGCTAACTCACAACTATGCATGGACGTTTTGACATAGAAAACATTAAGGACAAGAATAGGCTGAGGAGTAAATGCATTATTCTTTGATGATTAGGACTCGATGAACAGTGGATATTGCTTACTTACTCGCTTACATACGTTAGTTACCCGCAATGGAACATGGACCAACGACCAGCGATATGTGTGTATGTTGAGACCTACTGCTGCTGCTGCTGATACACTGGTCGTTCTCTCCTGCATTTGTTGTTACGCGTACGATAGAAGAACAAAATAATCCGTGAAAACTATATCGTACAGCTGTGTCCCAGCTGTCCACTGTATCCCATGCTTTCTACTCAGATGCCAATATCATCATAATTCAGTCGATCACCAAGAAAAAGAGAAAGAGTAAGCAATCTTGTCAGACACCGATCTTAACTGCAAAAGAGTTTGTAAGCAGTTCTCCGTGCACAATTTTGCAGTTCAGTTCATCATAAGCATCCTGTATGGTGTTGACTATTTTCTCAGGTACGCCGTATATCCCGAAGAAGCCTCCATAATGTTGTCCTATCCATGCTGTCAATTGCATCCTCGTAGTCAAACAGAGAATATACCTACATACTTCATACTTTGGCTACCTATCACTTTACCTACTAGTCTTTCTAGAGTATCAAATAATCACTTCCTATTTTCACCTAAGTGACAAAAGCAAAAGACATTTAATAAATTCTCGCAGTTGTTTGTTATAGTAATTAAATGTACATATACGTGTGAAGATAAACCTTTTAATTGAAAAATGTCTATTTCATACACCATAGATGTATACTTCAAACTAAAAAAGTACATTGATAGTATCAAAGATCTTGGAACAGAAAAAAGTAAGTAATTCAAAATGGGTAGATAAGTCGTATTGAGAGAGAATTAATTAAGTTCACATATCAGTATGCATACATAAGCTAATAACATAAAATCAACGTATTTTCTTTACATTAGTTGAGATCATGAGACAATTAAAGTTATAATATCATGGAAAACCTGAAGACATTGGACCGCCATTTCTTTTTATTGTAAGTCTCCACAACAAAACGCAGTCTAGTTTCAATTGACTCATGATCTCAATTAATAAAATTACTATTATATCCATAAAAAGCCCCTTCTGATATATTTTTTGTTAATAAGTTCACGTAGTGGAACTACTTGCATACGTGTTTCGATATGATGACAAACCATTCCGAGACGGTGAGTTAAATATCCTATTACTTAATAAATATTTTGCAGCTTAGTATGTAACTGGTGATTCATTATAGTGTTTTTCATCATTTTTAATAATCATTTCAGAAACAACTGGATTTCTGTTATTGATCGAGATCATGAACCGATTGATTTTAGACCACCATTGAAAACCTGGAAGCATTGAACAGCGGTTTCATCCAATTGATTGAGGTTGCACATTAACACCGTTGAATGCCTACTCAGTGTTCTGGAGGTTAGGCTTCCGCGCGCAAGACATGTGGCCTAAGGTTCAAGACCTGCAAACCGATTCATGGATGCGCAATAAAGAGGAGTCTCAGAATGAGATGAAAAGAACTTCCAGTGCTTCCAGGTTTACAGTGGTGGTTTAGAATCCATCGATCAATGATTTCATTCAAAAACATGATAATATCTGCAACCCCATACTGATAACATTATGCTGTTTGATAATATAAATAATATACTTTTGCTCTATATCACTTAATTCTGTGTTTAATATCTAGTCACCATCATATATTTGAGCGATAAAAAGGTTTCTTCTCAGCTTTCACACATTCATTCAACATGATAATGAATAGACACAACTGCAAATTCATATGCCAGATAACTATCTTTGATTTATATCTGTTGGTGACAGATACCATGAACGTAACCTACACGTGGTAATCTGTAGGTAAAACTATCCACTGATGAGACGAATTAGATGTTTACAGAAAAGCTTTTGTCTTCACATTTCACTGATATTCTTGTACTGTTTTGCATTTAATAGAAGTAATGAGGCTAGAAAAATTGTATGCAGCTAAATGGATTTACGATCTATTCAAAAGTAGGTTCATGTGTATATTTATTTATTTATTGCAAATATGTTGTAAAAGATACCTAATAATAATTGTCTAGCAACGTCGGTGAAATAAATCTTATCAGAGACAATCAATGAAACCACTGAAATTGTGTCCTGAGTGTAGAAGAGACTCCATATTAAATGGCCACGATAGTTCGTGATTAAACACGGAACTCTTATGATGTCACGATGGCGATATTCAGTCGAAGAACCACAGAAGCAGTTAAAAAAAGTGAATGGAACTTCCGGTGAAGTTATGAAACTGTAAATGATATTTGGTTAACACTGTAGATGAGAACATAGTGTAGCGTGGCGTCGAGTCGAGATTGACTATGAACACCGCTTCAGAGAAACACGTGCCAAATAAATCCGTAAAATCCATCGTTAGCCAAATATCAGAAGGCAATTATTGGACATATTTGCTGGCTAACTCGTGGTATCAAAAGAATACCGAGATCATGCCAGGATACAAGCTTGGTTACAGAACGTAAACGAATTCGCGCGAAGTCACAATCAAAGGGTAAGAATAATGGATATTTTTAGCACAGTCAAACAAAAGCACATTAAAACAAACACTGGTGCAGTTAGTTATAATAATAATTGTTTTTATTGAATAAGTAATGTTCTCGTGAGTAATGCGAGTCACTACAGGAGCCCAACGATAGAAAGGGTTTAGACTTTAGATAAGTAGCGGTTTAAATCGTAGGAATGACCGGCTGACGAGCGATTGTAGGACGTAAGAATTGGCGGAACAAGAAAGCGATCGTTGATCGTCGAGTTGCCAACGAAGGTCTTTTTCGGAGAATAGTACGAGGAGTGGTGTGCTGTATTTGTTGCTTGAGTTGGCATGCCACACCAGAGTGGTTTGTATACAGAAGTGAGTCACTACAATACAATCAGTCATTGTCTGCAATGAGTGAAACTGATTGAACAAAGTGTAGATAAGAGAAGACAAATTACATTCTGAAGTGTTCGAAATAGATAACACAAGGCATGATGATATGTCATGAGGCAATATGTTTTGCGACAAGTGTACAAAACTGGTGTGCAATTTGCAGATGTATGTGTTTTCCAAGTATTGGCTACAGATGTATCCATATTACCACACAAAGACATACACATAGCTACCTGAGATATGCTTCAAATCATTGCAATGAACAAGAACTATGACATTCGCATGAATAGATAGTTCAGCAGGTCGATGGAATGGAGGTGCTAGTTTCTTTGTGGATCAACAACTGGTGGTTCTCTATAGGGAACTGGAGCTACAATGTCACATGAGGACTGGATAGATGGAATTTCAAAGGGAAACTGCCTTCAGATTTTGGAGTCGAAGGCAGAAAATGCCATATAATTTTGGATTGAGTACACTGCTCAGGAAGAGATACTAGCCTTTACTTACATACGCAGAAAGGAGGATCTGATGTAGATGTGAAAGTGAGAATTAGCAATGGACGGGCAACACATCTACGACTGATGGATATCTGAAGCTCAAAATAACTGTCAATTCTAGTCAAAGTCGAAATTTTCACTATACATTTTAAACGAAGACAGTGAAACTTGCAAATTATGACAATCAATATCAGTAACTTAGTGTTATTTATAAAGTTTTTAAGACATATGTTCTTATTTTTTTGACGGGATAGTTTAACCAATAGTCGACTGTGTCTGTGAACAAGCCAGCATGGAAATATATATAAAGACGATGAATAGTAATAAGCATTAACTGTAAAGAAGGTACCAAAACGGTGTTGACTAAACATCACTGGTCAGTGGCCTATGCTTCAATTGAGATTACCGTTTTACGTAATTAATTTAGGAACGTTCTGGTTTTGCCACAGTTCTTTGGCTCCATGTTGGCTTAATAGTGGGAAGTGAGTAATAAAATACAAATACATCCTATTAGCAAATATCATGCATAATGTGATGTTAGCGTTTGGATAAATAGTTTGTAAATGCATTATTAGTGCAACAGAATGATGGAGTAATATGTTTCTAAAGAACAACACCATTTTAGTTTCTAAGATTAATACTCGAGTAATTTTTACTAAATACAGATATCAATCCCAATGATGCCAATTTACTGCAGACGTACTCAGGTAAGTCAATTCATTTTGTATGTATTTCACGTTTATAACTGATAAATAACTGTGGCAAATTGGATTTCATTTTGAAAAATTATTATTATTATTATTAGAAGCTTTATTCAACATTAGATTTTTGGTACAACATAGAGTTCTCAGCATAAATTAATTCAACAAGTTTCTTTTTCTTTTATCTTGATCGATTGTGACGATAAATTTTGAATGATGACCAGTTAAATGTTAGTAGTTCGGTAATCCACATTTGAATAATATTCACTCTTTTCAATGTATATTGCCGGCCATCATGATGTCGCCGATTGTACCTTTTTGTATCCCGTATAGCGAAAGGTTGTAAACATTTTATAAACGCGCCTGAATAGATTTTGTGCACAATAGACATAATGATGAGCTAAAACAAACAACAAAACAGATAACTTGATGAAATATGTAGATCGGAAGAACAGGTAGTCCAGATATTCAAGCAGGCCGCCTTTGTGTCACTCATAATCACTCAGTTGGAGTTTACCAACGATGTTACCCAATAGATAATTTCGAAATAAGTTAAATGAAGCAAATTTTAACGTTGTTGTATTCACTGTGGTAGATGTGTGCCTAGTGTATGAGGCTTTATCATAGCAAAATATGCTGTGGAATATCGGAGATTGGTGTTGCTTTCACACGACTTCACATTCAATACTATTTTATAATTGCACATGGATTTACTCCGTTTGTAGCTATTCTAGGGTCACTACTGGTCCAAAAGGCGTGTAAAAAAGGAGGGTTGGACATAAGGTCAGCAACTCAGTCTCGTTGAAAGTTACCTTGCTCAAAAAACATTAACCCGGTTAAAAAGATTAGACCATTTAAAATCCGCCCTCCAAATGAAGGAAGAAGTATGATTCCTCATGATGAAATGCGAGATTCTTCGGAGGTCACACAGTCGATTCTTCTTCTAAAAATCAGATCAACAATTATTATTGAAGCACTGAACGTCCGGACAATGTGTCATACTGAGTGGATCAGTCAAACAGCTGTGGAAACAAGTAGTGCAATTAGTTTGACTCATACTGGACAGGAAATACTAGATTCGGGGGAGATGTTTCTGAAGTGTATTCACAAAGAAGGAAATGCCCTTTGTAGACAGGCATTTCCTCTCATGTTGTTTAGAGAAGCACAAAAATTAAGTAAAGGAAGGGAATCTCATTGGTCAATGATCATAAAAAATATCTTCAAAAACGATGAGTGAGGGTAATCCAATGAATGTTATCCACCCACCAATGATGACAATGAAAAAGATCAGTTCTATGATAGGCTGCAATGGATCATAGTAAAGTGCTCAAGAGATGACCCGATGGTGAACCTAAACATCAAAAGACGTAATGGAACAACGTGCGCTCAGCAAACTGGCTATAGGTAGCACAATGTTCCTACATAAACCCATAAGCAAAACATCATAGGTCTCACCGGATCACACTACACATCGCATTTTGTCGCATTTATGGATTATTCCGATGTCTATTATACTTCATTGAAAGAGTAAAAAAAGATGAACATTTCACTAACATAATAGTCTGTTTTACCATTCTTTTATCAGAAAATTATAAACGACTATCTGATATAAAGCCGAATTCAGATCTTGATTACCATTGTAAGTTTTTATAACACGTCTACTTATGTTATCATTTGACGGTTACTATACATGATGTGCATAAGTTCTATATGAAACCTATCACAGTAACTTGTCACTGTTCTAAGAACTAAGCATATCGCAACAGTAAATTGATATCTATATAAGCTGTTTAGCAGCCTCTATAATGAGGTTGTATTGAACATAAACGACTAGCCATATTTATATATTTTAGCCTATATTATATATCAGTATACTGCACGTCAGTTTGTTCTGTTCTAGTTTACGGCATGAAAACGTTGTCATTTTCAGCGACACTAGTTTTAAGCATAAGGAGAGACATCGTCTAATATGTTGACCCGCTGCACTAAACCAACGATGAACTCGAATAGATTTTAAACATAAGTAGAGACATTGTCTAACTAAGGATAGGGAGCGTCGACAACTTCACTTATCTTGGAAGTCTGGCCATTCCTGGTGAGATGGTGTCTGACAAAATCTCTTCACGGATCCAGGAAGCTCGTTTGGCTTTTGCCAAATTACGTCACCCATAGCGTAGGCGAGATATCCGCTCATCAATAAAATAACGAGAATACTGCCCGGCAGTTGGTTTTGTTTTAATTTACGGCAGCGAAACATGGTTGTTAGCGTGGAAGGTACTGGTAAGCTACTAGTATTTGACCACAGATGCCTTGAAAATATTGCTCGCATTTGCTGGGATCACCAGGTAAGTAATAGTCAGGTTAGATGGAGGTATCAGGGAATGATGGTAAATCGGTTGATGATGTTGTGAATCCTCGTCGACTGAGATGGTTGAGTCACGTAATACATATGCCATAACACCGATAACCACGACGCGCAATACTGACTGACTAGTATTGAAAGTGATTGGAAGAATGTTCGGGGCGCACAAATCAAAATGTGGCATCAGTGCTTGAAGTCACTAACTTCTACCATGAACCATGTTGGTAGATGCAGACTAGTTGGTTGGGGTCCGCGTGACGTATATACATTCATTTTCCTACCATAATCTATGTGAATAAAATCGCTCTATATCTTTCTTTCTACCAACTTTATCTTTGTTTCTGTACTATATCTTTGTACACAATCTTTCATATATTACTATCAGTGAAGTAACTACCTCGATGAATTCGTTGTTCATCTTGTTGTACTAATGAGTAAGGTGTGACAACTTGGATCGATGCACATATGTGCCTGACCCTAAGTTGTAGCTGACTGACTGACCAGTTCCAAATGGAATGAATTTGAGTTAGCTTATTTATAATTCGTAGTGATTTGCGTTAAATATTCGACTGAATTTTTTCTTTACTCACTCACCTATTGTAGCCTATAGTTTAATAGAATCTGCAATAAAGAAGAAGTGGAATGCGAGATTATACTTTGACCTAGCAACCAGTAAGTTTTAGATAAAAACTTTTTAACATCACATAATCAGTAATGAAATACACTTGACCAATAAAGAAACTATATCAATCCATTAAATCTATGAATGAGTATAATTACTACATATGTAAGATAATTATATATATGAAAATTTCTGGAGGGCTGATGAACATAGTAGCAGCATAGATAATCATTCAATCGCAAATGCGTATATGACTTGTTAATTTATTGATGTTTTTCTAGAATTCTGTATAAACGTCTAGTAGATGCTCATTAGATAAGATGATTCTCAATGTTTTTAGAGCCTTTCTTTTTGGCGTTCTACGAAGAGTTTTGTGGATTTGCCTCACCGAAATACCATAGTGCAAATAACATTTTGAATGGGTTCAACTGTTAAAATCATAAATTCATGACGTATCAAGGTCTATACATACTACTTTCAAATTCACATTGACTACTATTGTTTTTTGTTTCATGCAGACATATACTTGAACATGAAAACTTCATCCAAAAGCTCGTCTTTGACAGAAAATAACGGTGAGTACTTGATATCTATATTGAGAATGAAGTTTTATCAATCAGTATTTGCAAACCATAAGTTGTGACTGAATTTCGTGGATAAATTATAGTTAGACATTAACACCGTTCGATATCAGCTCAATAATCAAGAGTTTACGTGTTCTCTCGCGAGACTGATAGGTCAAATCCCACGGTGTGAGATCGTGGACGTGTGCAAAATAAAACACAAATCACTTATGTATTGAAATGTAAATCATCATGATGAAAACACGAGATTATTTGAATTAATAATTGGATTTCATTTTTATTCTACTAAAGGGAAATCACTTGATGAAAGAAAATCAACTCTGGAACAAACTGAAAAACAATATAAAGAGTCCAAATGTATGTTTAATAGAGTTTCAAATAAGCAAACCTTTAAAATAAAAGACTGTTGACTTATAATCTAGTTTGTATTGTGAATTCTGTAAGCTGAGATATACGATTGTTTATTAAGTGATCTCATTCTTGATGGTAAATGGTACTATAATGTGAGTGGCTATAAGAGCTACTGGATCATTATCCTAATAATGTGAGTATTCCATAGACTGTTTTTACATCATTCTCAAATTCAACACAGAGAACACCAACCCAATCACACTTGATGGCAGAACTTCGGAAGAAGTGGAATCCTTCACGTACTTGGGTATTATCATCAATGAACAAAGAAGATCTGATTCAGACGGGAATGCGAGGACTGGCAAAACATTGACAGCATTCCTACAGTCAAAGAACGTAAAGAAATCAAAACAATCATAAATCAATATCAAAGACAGAATATTCAATACGAATGTCCAGAAAGAAACTTGTAGGACTACTGTAAACATCAACATAAAAGTATTTAGAAATATATGTCTTTGCAAGATACTCAACATCCATTGGCCGAATACCATAAGCAACAGCCTACTGTGGGAGATAACAAAAAAGCTTTCAACTGAGGAAATTAGGAAAAGACGATGAAAATGGACAGGAAATACATTACAGAAATCATAGAACTGCATCATATGGCAAATCCTATCTTGTAGTCTTGAGGGGAAACGGAAAAGAGGAAGGTCAAATGACACAATACGTCGGGAAAAAGAAGCAGATATGAAAAAGTTGAATAACAACTGGAAAGAAACTGGAAAGGATTGCCCAGAACAGAGTTAAATGGCAAATACTGATGTGCGGCATATTCTCCTCCACGTGGAGTAACAGGTGTAAGGAAGTATGTGAATTTATTGAAAACCTGATAGAATTAGGCAATTATTACAGAACTATTGTCAACTAAAAAGATGTTTATGGGGAGAAATATGTCGCGATAGAGACACTTATATTAGTAACACTAGTGGTAAAATTTAAACAAGGTCTTTAAATAAAACAGTATTCTGTGTTATGGTCTTTAAAGTTGTATTATCTTGATCTTTTTTTCCAACTTAAGTACGTGTTATAAACATATATCAGGAAGTGCTTGAAACAGGACAGTCATTTAAAAAAGTCTACAGTGAGTTTCACAGCCAGTTATATATATATATATATATATATATATATATATATATATATATATATATATCTTTCCATGAATAAATTAATTCCTAAATTTACAGTGATTATGCAGTGTGACTGATTTTCTTAAATAAATTAGGGTTAGAATTATGGTAAGGGTTGAGTGATAATATTCTTGCTAAGAAATTAGGCATTAAACTAGTAAAAGTATCTGTAAAGTTGGTATTATCCCATCATATATATTTTTAAACTCATTGACTAGTCAATGAAATGTTGAAAGCAACCGATAATAAGATTATCGACTGAGTGAACATTAAAATTATGATCTATTTTCGGGTAGTTAAAGAACTCTTAAACATAACCCACCGTGTGTCGCGAATTTCATCTATAGATCACTATTCCCATATAGAAAACGTGAATAGGTAATAGGTTATCATTATAGGTAAACTAATGTAGCGAATTAACATGAAATAATATTTCCTAGTCAGTGGTTTACTTTTTTAAACGATAAAGTTTTACGCCCATTACCCCACGTGGAGGAGCATAGGCAGCCCATCAGCACTCCCCATTCAACTCTGTCCTGGACAATCCTTTCCATGTGTTATTCATCCTCTTTATATCTACTTCTATTTTTGCCGACGTAATGTGTTCTTTGACCTTCCTCATTTCTGTATCCCTTCAAGATTCCAAGTTAGGGCTTGACTTGAGATGCAGTTTAATGATATCCGTAATGTATCTTCTATCCACTTGAAACGAAGTTTCGTGAACAAGACGCCAACCACAGTAAACAAGTTAAACACATCAAACTCGGTGAATATAAATATAGATTACTATTTTTATTAAATCAAACCGTCCATTATCGTCATTTAAATATTTTTCTCCAAGTGGTTTGATGATTAAAGACGTTTACTTTAACATCGATCAAGCAAATAATTAAACCGAATGCAAAGATCACTCCAACTAACCCAATATATTATGAAAAAAATACTATTGTATCTTAAGGCTCTCTGCCCTATGAATGTATTACGTAACGATACCGTCAATTAGAGAACATTGATTTATCGACTAGACTAATGATACGTAAACACGTACAAGAAGTCTAGAGTCATTACCGGTCCTGCTTCTTGCCTAGCCATTCCTCTTAAGTCCCGAACACAAATCTCCACCTCCACAATATGAGCCCTCTAGTTCAAATATACTGTGTTTATATTCAAACCAAACAGGCCATATCATGCCATAAAATAGAAAATACACAATTGCGCCAAGATCTAAACAAAAGTGACTGTGAATGTAAATGATTGTAATTAATAGAGTGAGCATTACTCAAGAATGAAAAATCGTATCATAATAGTGTATGAGTCAAAATGAAGCAAGGCGAGGATTGATAAAGCATGGATAGCATTCTCACAGTTGAAGAACATATGGAACTCAAAACAACTGTGATCTAATATCAAAGTGAGAATCTTCAATACGAACGTGAAGACAGTTCTAATGTACGGAGCTGAAACGTGGAGAAATATCACAACGATCATCAAAACAGTATAAGTGTTTCTTAGCAATTGTCACCGTAGGATACTGAATGTTCGTTTCCCAGATACCATCAGCAATACCCTACTGTTGGAGAGAACAAACCATAAAATACGATGTAGGTGTTGGTTGTGACATACATTGAGGAAATCATCAAGCTGCATCACGAGGCAAAATTTACTTGAAATCAAAAGGCAGCAGATATGGAGTGGATCAATAACAACTGGAAAGAAACTAGAAAGGAATGCCTAAGACAGAGCTGAATGTCGAAATTCTGGTGTGCGGCCTATTCTCCTCCACGAGAAGTAACAGGAGTAAGTAAGTAAATAATTGTTCTTCCAGAATTCTAGGTCATTCTAACCGCCTAATGACAGCCCATAATTTTTGTAAATGTATGTCATTTAAGCGAATGACTTCAATATCGATCTTTCATTTATATTTACTGATAAAACGTCGTTTTCTTTAATACAAAAACAGACGCGGTTGAAATGGATGTATCTAAATTGAACCCACAACGTGAGATTTATGTGATATATTAATTGATTTCCGATACATATTCATTCATGAGATCGTATTGCACAATTTAATAACCGAATAATTCCCTATTTTAATGCACATTCAATCAAATTATCATTTTCTTGATTCTCGTTTTTAATAGTATGTAATCTAGTTACCATAATATTAAGAGAACTGATGTTCCGTGACGAATTCGATCCCGTGTCTCTCAGCTCCACGGTCAGAGACGTTACCACTGAACTATCCCACCAGGATAGGAAATCACTTTATTGTATGATGTAAGATATATGCTGTATGATTTGTATGCAGAAATATTTGCTAGTATTCTTAGTGGTAGTGAATCCTAACCACAATCATCAAAGCTGAACATGAAATAACTGTGAAAACAGACTTTCAACATGTAACACTAAAAGTACCTCAATAATGGTGGACGTAGTAACATTGATTCGAAATTTAACTCATCGAATATCACGGCTCCGCCTTGCAGGCATTTTTATTCTTTCGTAACTTATCCATTTTATTCATATTAAGTGTATTGTTCTATCTCCAGTCTAAATGTGTTCTCCATTATATATCGATGATAAATCTGTTAGAATCTTGTTTGGTTAGATTGCATTTTAGCAGCTGGCGGAGGTTCACACTTTATAAATCAATCTCATCATTTGAAATGAGTAATATTTTCGGATGCGAGTATTTACTCACCTACGCCTGTTACTCAAAATGGAGCACAGGCCGTCGACCAGCATTCTTCAACCCACTTTGTCTTAGGCCTTCCTCTCCACTTCTATTCAATTGTTGTTCATTCTTCTCATGTATGTCTCGGTTTCTCGATGTAATGTGCTCCTTGGTCTTCCGCTTGTCCTTTAACCTTGAGGATTCCATGTGAGGGTTGACCTTGTGACGTAGTCGGGTGTTTTCCTCAATGTATGCCCAATCCACTTCCAGCGCTTCTTTCTAATTTCGTCCAGATACGAGTATTTGAACCAAAACAAATCCTCTATCTAGACACATGAAATCCGATGTTTTAGTAAGATTTGTTTTGCACTTAAGTAAACTCTGATGGCAATTTATTGTTTATTGTCAACGTCTCACACACAATCTGAGCATAGTCACGTTTTTGATGGAGTTTTGTACTCTAAGCTGGATGGTTTGGTTGTGTAGCTTTCTTTCACCTGAAGTTTGTGCTGATGATGTCGTTCAGCAGAACGATGTAAGCTCCATGAACATAACATCCAGCTCAGAGAAAGAAGCTCCACCAAAATCATCTACCTGAGCTACAAATCTTCTCCACCATCTCATAATCACGTTTTTCTCTTCATTCATTGAATCATCAATGTGAAATAATAATCTTTTATCAATTTTATTTTAGTCAAAGAAATGCAGGAAAACATTGATGAAATGGCAGAACAACTCGAAATCGAAACGCGTTAGTTATTATGTCTTTAAATTTATTCACTTTTGATTGATACGGTAGTGTAATAATTGAATTCATGAGTGGATTAAAGCTAGACCACAATAGAGAACCTGAAAGCACTTGAAGGCTGCTTCGTCCTAGTACGGGACTCCTCAGCAGTGCCTATTCACGACCTCGCCTCGCGAGGTTTCAACCCACAATATATTACTTGAAATAATTATCTTGTATATGGTAGAAGAAAATAACACATATAATGTAATAATAAACTATCAAGTCTCACCTTGGTATTGATACATATCATGTGGGTTTCCAAAATATATTTAATTGATCTAATCGTTTATATATGTAGTAAGATTAGTTTAATCTGAATTGATGATAACTATTCAACATATTACATACGAGTATAGTTAGAACCCACCGTCTATTACCATCATTTTAGAGAATTTGAAGGCAACTGAAGCTGAAGCCAAAAACACATTAAGTATGTTGATGATTAAGCAAATAACTTCATACAATTACATACGTTAAATAAACTATTTTGTGTTTGAATAATAATGTCAAACTTATCACACATAGTGTTACCAGTTATTCTTTGTTTATTAGATTCGAACGACCGAAAACATTTGGAACATTTTGCAGAAGATATTAAACAGAAAATCGATGACTATAAAGGTGAATAGTAATTTCCCTAGATGATCCACGATTATATTTCTGGAAGCATTGAACAGCCGTTTTAATTTAGTTTCATAATTCCGCGTATGGGATCATGGATCCGTACAACTAACGATAGTCTAACATTAATCCACTTAATGGTATCAATCGATAATATAAAATCTCTATAACTCTAACAAATTCATTTTTGTACACCTTTTGCACTTCTGAAAATATCTCATTAGGGCGAATAAATGAGTCTAAGAAAGAACTGTTTAAAACATCTAATAACCTAATTTTTGGTAAGTATTAATAAGTTAATTGTAAAGAAAATAATTTTATCATTGACGATACTTTGATTTATGGAAGAATCAGTCAGGTATAAGATAACAGGTGTCGGAATTTAGTGGAACGTTTTGGCATTATAGCTGATTTCGATTATAGAAATCTACCTAAAATTTGTGCTGGTGATGTCTTTCAACAGAATGATGAATGCTCTACAACCATGCCATCCAGCTCATAGAACAAAACTCCATCATAACCATCAACCTAAGCTACAAATCATCATCTCATTATAGCTGATGATGGTTCCTGATGAAAACCCAAAATCTAATTCCTAGCAATAATCGTAAACTGTGAATCATAATTCTTATAATTCAAACTGCTTTGTAACCCTCATTAAACCCTAGTAGATAGATGAACACTCTGGAAAAGTTGTCTATAAATCATAGTTTCACTGAGAACTATAACTAGCACCTTAATTAGCTATGTTTTACTGTGATTATAATTTATAGCAAATCCGGAAATTATAGCTGCAAAAGACAATAACCAACATGCCGCCATGAAATACTTCAGTGCTCTAGGTAAGCTTTTATACAAATAATACCAATGAAGTGTGTTCATCATTTGAAGTCGATGGTTTATGTAGTGGTCAATTATCTGAATGTTACTTACTTACTTACGCCGGTTACTCATATTGGAGAATAGGCCGCCGACCAATACGCTCAAATCCACTCTGTCCCAGGCCTTCTCTTATAATTCTTTTCAATTGTTGTTCATTCTTCTAATGTATGTCGCAGTTTATCAATGTATTATTTTCTTCGGTCTTCCCCTCCTCCTTTGGCCTAATTTTCCGTATGTAGCAGTTTAATTTTCAACGAGATAATGAAATCAGTATGTGATTCTAAGATGTTTGAGTAAAATAGTTTTATCAGATTATAAGCAAAGATCGATATTGGCTACAAGTGGAATCCAGTTTGACGCGCGTTTCATCCTATCTGGTATCCAAAATGCTTTACTTCAAAGGCTAGTTTATGTACAGAAAATCTAGTTCTTCTATGGTATTTTAGACGGCCTTGATTTTACAGAAAACTATGAAAAGTTACTTAAACATATTAGCTGTATCGGTATTCATCTTATCAAAAACTCTGCATGTGGCTTTCCACATTCTAAATGTTTCTGGCAAACCTTTAGTTGAATGCTGATTGGATAAGAAGTTTCTCTCTGTTTTCAGAGCAGTGTTTCGCTTTTTCCTGGATCTCTTCAACAAATACTGTACACTGTTAATTTTGAGAAAATGAAGTTCATTTTCATCATGGTTTACAGATAATCATCTTAAAACATTGAAAATTATGGAAGTTCAAAGAATAGATGTCCTTGAATGTAAGTGACTTTTATTGTTTGATAATAATCGACTAACTTATTAAGTACTTCCATTAGAGGAAAGAATAAAAATCTACGAAAGTATAATGCAGGAAGAAAGTAAGTAATCTCTTTAGGGGTTTCGTTACGTAATGTAGAAATAAACTTGTAATTGTATGATAATATTGTCTTATTTACAAACCATTTTGAATAATTCTGATTTTTTCTTCAGTAAACTCAACTTAAAGGCCTAAAAATGTGAGTAATCACCTTAGAAGATGTTTTCCGATTTTCACTCGCGCGTTCCATCCTATTTAATACACATCAGTGGGGTGCATCTGGATCTTATAGTATGGTACTGTGTTCCAGTCCCGGAGTGAACATCAACTCTGAGATACAGGTAGATCCTGCTGACATTTCTCAAATAGGACGAAACGTGCGTCAAACTGGATTCCACTGTTAGCCATTATTCAACTTCGCTTATATTATTGGATGCTGTATTGGCTTTGTTATAGTATGCAATATTACCTATGAGTATTTATCACGCATATAAACTAATCAAGGTAGTAAATGGATTGATTTAAATGCATTAAGTTACTTGATTGATTGAATAAATGTCTTAGAGAATGCACCAACTTAAATCAGATGACAACCTTTTCACTTAATAAACTATCAAGTCATATCTTACAATTACAAATGATTGTAGAGCGAAAATGTCAAGACTCCTTAACAATTCTTCCTGAAAATGTGAGACAATGAATGTTCTGTTGCAATCGTCAATCATTCAACTATCACTAGCTTAGACCCTGTTGTCGGTATATATTGGTGCATATCGTCAAACCATATTAGCATATAGAGATGAAAGTAACAAAATACATTGAGATAGAATGTTAGCGATGATAGTCATGAAAATTACACGTCCTTAATATGGTTTGAAATGGTAGAGTAAAAGCGTTTGCATGGAGGATTACTGAGGTTCGATATCTAGTGGAAGATAAAGAGTGGACGATTCTGAGCCATGTCAACACCTTGAAAACTCCAAATAGTGACTGTTATTAACGCATTGGTTTAAATCGTATGTGCTGCACCTACTGATGAGATCGGAACAACAATCTGTGACTTCATGGACTAATGCTAACATTTGATTAGGCTGTCTGTTGGACTAGGAGCAGCCAGTTGAAGCAAGTGGTGAATAGACACAGATGACACATGTTTCAAACAACCTAGTCGATCACAAATGATAGATTCCGTTACTCAGTCTCCTGTGCAGCTTCTTCACTCGGCTTTGTCGACATTTACTAGGTCAACCAGTGCATCATTTGTGCGATTATCGACTCATGATAAGTGAGGTGATGGAATCGTCACTCATAAGGGAATATTTATAAATAAAATAAATAAAAACGATGAATGTTGTCCATCTCTGATGAATATCACATGACAATTCTGGTTACACCTGACTACAATCTCCGACCCAAGCAAACATTCACCATAAAAAAGATTACTCGCAAGATTTGTTTGCTGCATTGGTCAGTATTTCAACGAAAAAATTACCACGAAAGCTTTTGATCAATACGGACAAATGATTTCTCGGAGTCAAGAAATAGGACTCTTGTTGTATGCCATTAAGTTTGCTTATATTTAAAAACCTGAAGAGTGTGCCTTTAGTTAATACATTCACATTCAAGTCTAAAACCCGTCCAAGCTCCCAAGAATTCCTCATCAACATCAAAATTTTGTCATCATACAGATACAGAGGCTTGTATTTTCGTTACTATACTAGTTAAACCGATTCTTCTGTGTTAATTATGAGAGGATGTTAAATCCGTCATGTAAAGTGTCACGGCCAGCTTCCAAAGAAAGTCAGATAATATGACGTCCGACTATCAAACTTCAACCAGTGGCTATATTAGTTTACTTCTAAAACCGTATCACTACCGTGAAAGACATCCAAGTTTAATAGAGACGAGTTTTCTGCACTCCTCCAGATAGTTTGTCCATCAGTCCAAGTGTCAGTAACAGGTTATTCATCTTCCAAGATTACCTGAAGTCTCTGTCACACTTTATCGCTCTTTGGACCTTTCACGATAAGGTTTCTGGTATCTATCAACTCAGTAGATCACACAAAAATCATCTGATCTAAACTGAATTTCCTAATAACTTTTATTGTAGGTGTCACTGATATATTTATAGTTGTTAAGAGGTGTTTACAAACATCTATATCATTAGCTGCTTCTCAATGAAGCCTAAATTGTTCTCCCTTGAATGAACTACTAAATTACTTTGCCTATAATACTCGTGGTGGTAGACAAATAATTGTTGATTGTATTGTTTGAATTTATTTGTTGAAGATGGTTCTGAATAACATAAAAGGTTACCTGTTTACACATGAATTCAAGTGTAATGTGCGTTGTCGATACGTTTTTTTTTTAATAGGAAACCAGAAGAATGAACGAAACTTCAACAAAACAAAATATTGTTCTCAAACTGTTGTAATAAAAATTCTGTCAACTTTTTCATTAACTGAAAAACCGAAAAACAGTATTAATGTTCATTTTATTCAAGTGTCTTTTCATTAAAATAACGTTATGCATTGTATTGACAGATTTTGCAACAGTTCAAATTATTGGCAAAGATGGACAATGTCTAGCTGTGAAATCCGGTTTAAAGCACGTTTCTTACTAATCGAGACACATCAGTTTGATGTACCTGCATCTCAGGAGCGATTTTCACCCTGCGATTCGATCCCAGTATCGTTTGCCTCAATCGTCATTGCGTTATCCACATAGTTGCTGAGACCTGAGAGTTACTTGCTTGTGCAATAGATTTCCATTCATCAGTTTTATTCTGAATTTAAACAAATCGCTTATAACTGTGTTGTGTAAAGCGATGATCAATAAACTACTTTCTAATGACAATAAATTATCGAAAAAACAATTAATTTAGCCGGATTAGTTGTGAGATGGTAACTCACTGAACACAATAATATCAGCATATCATTTTCCGAGAGAAAAAGCCTATTTCGTTAGTTATTTATGATGACTTTCCAAATTATCACATGAACAAGTTACGGTCCAGAGTTAAATCTTGTAGGCAGTTATCGCGCAATCCCGACATCGAACATAGCACATCAAACATGATCGTTGTCATAGATTTAAAAACTATTCAACATAACAATTCAATCACTTCTAAACAAGAAATTTGAATAAGGTATTAGATAAACTCAATAGTTAAATAATTTGCATCTTCTTCCAGTTGAAATAAACACTGAACAATAATGTTGATTAGGTTGTTTCAAAATCATGAAAATTATCTCGATAAATTCATTTTAGGACAGAGGAATATGATAATTAAGTTGGAATAAAGTAGCTAATATTAGTCCATGGAAATGGAAAATATTTGTATTAAACATTGACTGAATGATTCACCCTGGCATAATTTGTGAAATCAAAAGTCGAAAGTCAACAAATATGATGAAATTTTCATGTGATTAGATTGATCACGAAAACAGTGATCTTGAGCGTTGTTAGGGTGATGAAGGTGGTTATCATTTCCGGATTACCCACACCGTAGAACCGTTCTTCTGGAGGTAGCCGAGTTGAGGGTGGTCTTACAGGAACTTGGGTTTGCTGCTTTTAGTCATACCGTTCTTCAGCCGACCTGTTTGGCATTGTAGAACATTGAGGAATGATTGTTCTAGCCAGGATAGCTGAACTGGTTCATCACGATAAGAAAACCCGATCACCATGTCAAGGTAGCAGCAACGGTATAACCCATGCCTTTGAAAATCTGCGTCTAGACGGCTGTAGCGAATAAAAGTTCATAATACTAAGGTGGAGATTAGATTAGTGTGCAAAGTGATAATAAGTTATTCGGTCTTTCAGTAATCAGCTTTACGTGATTCCATGAATATTTCAGCAAATAGATCGCGTCAATCAAAATGATGTAGTTTACATTAAATAAGAAACACTAGAAATGTGTTTTCCAATTCACGACATTTTACTAGTTAAGGTTTTTTCTTTCATGCCAGTTAAATTATAGACTTTTATTCTTCACCATGTGTAATTGATTTCTTTATAATTATTATCTAATAAATATGTTCAAAGTTCATAAGCCTTCAAAACATCACATGCATTTTTTTGTAAAACCACGATAATCAGAAAACTGTTTTTTTTAGAATATCTTAATAAGAAAACCAATAATAATTTGGTTATGTTGTAAACAAGAATACTCTTCTCAAGGTAACTTTTAGGTATTTCATTATGTTAGAAAATATATCATCAAAAAAATAAAACTTGTAACAGCATAGGTTGGTTGGTTAAGAGTTGACCCTAAACAACCAAGCATATGCAAAAGCAGTATTGTTCAAGCATTCATTCACTTCCTTATTTTGTATTAGTGTTATATTCCCTATTATCTTATATTAAATGTTGAGAGCTTTTGTTTGTCTGAACAGATAATCCCACGTTCCACTGTGACTGCGCTAAGATAGAAATAAAGACCTATTCACTACTTGTCTGGTTTCTTCTATCAAAGCACGAGGGTTACCTTAAGGCACGAAACTGGTGAGCCCTTTTGAACACAAATATAACCTTATTAACATTATTTTTCTACTTAACCGTAAAAATAGACCTGATTATCCGCAAACTAAGTTGGGTATATAAATAGTTTATTTTTTTATTATCTTAAGTTATTCGTGTTGTAGTAACCATTTTTCGTGCTAATTTTATTGCTATATTTGTCACATACTTCATGTCAGAGTTAATAGAAACCCATATTCTGGAGGATTTGTCACCAGTGGAGATAGAAACTGTTATGACTACGAAATCCCGACTTCCAGAATTCGATCATAGTGATCCTGAGTTGTGGTTTGCTCAACTAAAGCACTATTTCACGAGACACAATATCAAATCTGGAGGGATTCGCTATGAAGACTTGTGTTCTATCCTTCCTCCTTCAGTCGCCAAAGAAGTCCGTGACTTGATTTTAGATCCACCATCACCACAACCGTACACCATTTTAAGACGAGAGATAATGAACCGTTTATCATTATCAGACAATCAAAGAATCTAATGACTTTTCCAAGGAGAAACACTAGGTGATAGGTCGCCGTCACAGTTTTTACGTCACCTCCAAGTCTTGGTGAGTGATAACACAGTGGGTGAAGCAGTCCTAAAACAAGGATGGATACAAGCCCTCCCATGCTACGTCCAACACTGTTTGGATGCACAAGATCCTGAAACCTCATTATTTCATTTAGCACGTATAGCCGATAGAATAATGGAAGGAGATCCTCCAAATGGATCAGGCACAATAAATCACACACAAAAAGTAGAATCAGCAAAAAACCCGGTCATAGAAGGACTCATTGCGAGTGTTAAGAGTTTCACTGAGGCTGTCACCAGAATGCAAATGGGTCATACAAACAGGAGCAGGTCACCACAACGACCACGATCCAAGTCACAAAACAGGTCACAAATGTCCAGACAATTTGGGCAGTTTTGTTGGTACCACTAGAACTTTGGTGTCAACTCAACCAAGTGCATGCAACCATGCGCCTGGCCTAGGTATAATCCCAAGACAGAGGGAAACGAGTAACCCCCCCCCAGGTCGCGACGACTGAGGAGGGTCGCCTAAACAGTCGTTTGTTTTATGTTAGAGACAAAAACTCTGGCTTGAATTTCGTAGTGGATGCTGGCGCTGCTCTTAGCATCGTCCCTCAAAATAAAACTGAGATTAGTCGAGAAACATCCCCGATTACACTTCAAGCTGCAAATAAAACTACAATCGCGACATTTGGGCAGAAAACGTTAACCCTAGATTTGGGGTTCAGAAGGCAATTCCCTTGGGTTTTCACGGTAGCCGACTTAGATCTGACAATACTGGCGATGGACTTTCTAGAGAGATACGAATTTCTAGTCGACACCAAGAAACGGCGCTTAACACTAAAATAAACTTCGTATTACACAAAAGGCAAAGAAAGTCACATCAGATCTCTTAACTTGATTCAAACTCCTACAGTAACAACAGCGAAATTTCAAGATATACTCGCTGAATTTCCAAACTTAACTAGACCAAACCCACAGCCTTCCAAAGACAAACTAAAAGTAAGTCACACTATCAAAACCGAAGGTGCACCATTGTTTGCAAAATCCAGGATACTAGCACCAGATAAGCTCAAAATCGCTAGGGCCGAGTTTGATTATTTGCTACAACCTGGTATTATCCGTCTATCTGATAGTTCATGGGCATCCTCTTTGCATATGGTCCCAAAGAAGAATGGTGACTGGCGACCGTGCGGAGATTACAGAGCCCTCAACTGTCAAACCGTACTAGATAGGTATCCAATACCGCATATCCAAGATTTCACAGACGGTTTACATGGTATGAACGCATTCACTAAAATTGACTTAGGGCACATCACAATATCCCGGTGGCTGATGAAGATATCCCCAAGACAGCTATCACTATACCCTTTGGTTTATTCGAGTTTGTACGTATGCTATTGGGCTTGAGAAATGCGGCACAGACATTTCAAAGATTCATAGATAACCTAATTCGAGATATGCCATTTGCGCAGGGGTATATAGACGACTTGTTAATTGCCAGCCCCGATTCGCAATCACACGAACAGCATGTACTAGCAGTGTTGAAAACACTGGATGAACATGGAATAAACATACATCAAAGTGTGTTTTCGGTGTTCAAACTTTAGAATTTCTCGGTCACACAATAAGCCCAGAAGGGATTAAACCTACCAAGAAAGAAGTGGACACCATCAAACAATACCCCATACCTAGTTCTCTAACACAACTGAGTTTTATAGGTCTCATTGACTTTTATCGCAGATTCATATCAGGTTGTGCACAATTAATGCAACCTTTGACAGATTCACTCCAAAAAAAAATCAAAAGAATTTAAACTGACTTCTGACACCGTCGAAGCTATTAAGCAGCTTAAAGATTATTATCTCTAATACTAACAGTCGAAAACTTAATTTAGAAAATTACGTAGATCATCTACGGGACCATATGTCCAAACTTAAGCCAATTAATACTCGTGAACAATCACGCGCCATATATGTACCTAAAGACCTAAGCAACTGCACACACGTCTGGATAAGATGTGACAAAATAAAAGCACGACTCAGTCCTCTATTTGAAGGTCCTTTCAAAGTCGTCTCACGAAAATCTAAATATTTCGTGATAAAAAAACATGGAAACATCGGCACAGTAAGTATTGATAGGCTAAAGCCGACTTATCTAGATCATGAACCACCATACGTGTTAGATCGTTTAACTGACAAATTCATTACGGAATTAAAATGTAAAAATCTTTACAAATGACTAAAACGGTTCGCTGGGCACATCCGATTAGTCAGTCAAGGATGTTGACAGTTTTGGCTGCAGGATAAAATCTAACCACATAGCTAATCAGACCCTACGTCTACTTAAAAATATTTTTTTTCCTCATTCCGCCTCACCTACAACTCCCCAGACCTTTTACGTTTGATATATAAGTGTTATGTTAAATTTCTTTAAAATACTGAACACAAACTCGGTATTCCGAAACGATGGCTGAGGATTTTAATCAAACTCATACAACTAAAACTGGCAAATACAACGAATTCATAAAGCAACCCAGGCGAGTTTTATAATTTATTTTTCTGGTTAATTAACTATGTTGGCTGTACTTCTTATATATCTATATACATTTTTCACGTAGACTGGCTATACATATATACCATATGAACTACTTCTAAAAGTTTTCGGTTGAGGATATTTTTAGTGGCTTGATACGATCAATACTACTATTACTGAGTGGTTTTTAGACAAAACATTTTGGATTAAACCATGGTCAAGTACTTATTAAAGTTCTCATCATTTTTTTTTCATGTTTAGGAAACTTATATAATGACTTAACCAGTTTTCCTGCAGCATGCTTTTTAGTGTGATCATATAACCCATCTTTATTGGCAATATTGCCAAATCTGAATATATATTCAGATTTTTTTTAATTTCTGACATTTAAGA